AGATGAGCTAAGGACACTGTCCTTAGGACAGACAAATTTAATATAAAATTACTCGGGTGTGATGAACATGTAAATGCATTAACCAAAAATATAATAACATTTTATTTACATTCCAGAATGTATTTTGTATGTGAGAAAAAAATAAAAAACAAAAAAACTTAGCTAAGCACTTATAAGCAGTCTAAACTCGTATTATAACACTGTATTACTGTAACATATAATTGTTAAAATATAATACTTTTAAAATAAAACTTCCTTTATAAAATCTAAATTAAATTGTACATCATTGAATAGAATTATTACTTACAAATAATTCTTACTTGGTTAATATCCTAAATTCTTAACTAATAGTATCGAAAACGACAAAAATATATATAATTTTTGTTATTTTACATWTTTACATTAAAAACAATGTAATCACAATATAAAAACCGGCCTTCAGGTGAATGGTGGCGCTACCTACCATACTGCCGAGACAATTTGCGACCGGAATATGTACAAGTGGTGTCACCTTATCTTCTCTACATCGTGCCCGGARTCTAACAACTCGGAGTTAGTAGTTACCGAACGGTAGTGCGGAGTTAACTCCGCGTTCCCGAATGACGTTGGATAATAATTTTTTTGTAGAGTTAACTAGAGTTGAGTTTTYGAACGCACCCTAGMACGAACCGCCACTRCATATAATATATATTGCGCAACCACGTTCTTTTTGATTAGACCTATGTGAAAAAAATCATTGAGTTTCTTTTTTTCAAAAGTTCTTAATTAAAAATTGTCGGTTATTATAATAATGTGTATTTTTACACACCACAGATCACTGACTACGCCTTCCTCTTCAGCTTGCTTAGTGCCCATACAGTGTATTTTATAAATGTGACCCCTGTACTATACTTAATAAAATTCATATATCTTCACTCCGCTGGTTAATTAGTAACAAATATTGTATATTCCTACTGAGGTCTCATATTATATGAATTCTTTAATTATTTTAAAACTTTTTYTTCTGGACATTTAGTTTAGTYGATAATTATTATGTAATATTATAGTTTATGATCACCTCCACCGACCTCACACTATTTTTAATTTGCATATAACTTTCCATTTTCATTCACTTTAAAATTTTTCTTCACAATAAAATGAAATATTTCCTTCAGGAAGTTTATCAAACCTAATACCAATCCCGCTTTTTATAATAATATGATCAAGGCTGGGCATTAACGAGTTAAAAAGTTATAGTTAAGTTACTTTTAACTAAGTTATTTAACGAGTTACTTTTATTTTCAAAAGTAACTTCCAGCTTAACGAGTTTCTTTTTTTTTTAAACAACTTCTAACTGAACGAGTTAATTTATTAATTTGTCCTAATATAAATTTCATAAATTTAAAATTATATTTTGATTTTTATAACTTATTGATATTATATATATAAAAATAATAATTGTG